TCCGTAGATCGAATTTAATTCATAATGAGTAAGTAATGCTTCAGAACTCTGTAATATGAACTCGGAATTCAAAACTTAGGACTCAGTACTCAGGACTGAGAATTGTGAATTGAGGAAAACTACGAACTCCGGACTCAGTACTCAGGACTGAGAATTGTGAATTGAAAAAGTTATGAACTCAGTACTCAGTACTTAGGTCTAAGAGTTGTGAATTGAGGGAAACTAAGAATTCGAGACTCAATACTCAAGATTTTGAACTGTGAATTGAAGAAAACTAAGAACACAGGACTGAGAATTGTGAATTGAGGAAAACTGGAATTCACAACTGAGAATTTTGAATTGAAAAAGCTATGAACTCAGTACTCAGTAGTCAGTGCTCAGTACTCAGTATTCAGGACTGAGGATTGTGAATTGAAGAAAACTAAGAACGCAAGACTCAGCACTCAGGATTTTGAATTGTGAATTGAAGGAAACTAAGAACACAGGAATGAGAATTACGAATTGAGGAGAACTGGAATTCAGAACTGAGAATTGTGAATTGAGGAGAACTAAGAACTCAAGACTTAGTACTTAGGATTGAGTATTGTGAATTGAGAAAAATTATAAACTCAGGACTGAGAATTGTGAATTAAGAAAAACTATGAACTTAGGACTGAGAACTGTGAATTAAGGGAAATTAAGAATACAGGATTGAGAATTGTGAATTGAGAAAAGCTAAGAACTCAAGACTCAGTACTTAAGCCTGAGAATTGTGAATCGAGGAAATCTAAGAACTCAAGACACAGTACTCAGTGCTGAGAATTGTGAAATGAGAAAAGCTATGAACTCAAGCCTGAGAATTGTGAATTGAGAAAAGTTAAGAACTCAAGCCTGAGAATTGTGAATTGAGGAAATCTAAGAACTCAGAACTTAGTACTCAATGCTGAGAATTGTGAATTGAAGAAAACTATGAACTCAGGACTGAGAATTGTGAATTGAGGGAAACTAGGAGCTCAAGACTCAGTACTCAGGACTGAGAATTGTGAATCGAGGGAAACTAAGAACTCAGGACTCAGTACTCAGAATTTAAAATTGTGAATTGAGGAAAACGAAGAATTCAGGACTGAGAATTGTGAATTAAGGGAAATTAAGAACACAGGATTGAGAATTGTGAATTGAGAAAAGCTAAGAACTCAAGACTCAGTACTTAAGCCTGAGAATTGTGAATTGAGGAAATCTAAGAACTCAGGACACAGTACTCAGCGCTGAGAATTGTGAAATGAGAAAAGCTAAGAACTCAAGCCTGAGAATTGTGAATTGAGGAAATCTAAGAACTCAAGACTCAGTACTCAGGACTGAGAATTGTGAATTGAGGAAATCTAAGAACTCAGGACTTAGTACTCAATGCTGAGAATTGTGAATCGAGGAAATCTAAGAACTCAGGACACAGTACTCAGGGCTGAGAATTGTGAATTGAGGGAAACTAAGAACTCAAGACTCAGTACTCAGCACTGAGAATTGTGAATCGAGGGAAACTAAGAACTCAGGACTCAGTACTCAGAATTTAAAATTGTGAATTGAGGAAAACGAAGAATTCAGGACTGAGAATTGCGAACTGAGGAGAACTAAGAACTCAGGACTGAGAACAAGAGAAAGGAATTAATACATAACTAGCAGCGACTTCGAAACAACGTCAAAATGTCCGATTCGACGAAAGGCCAGGAGTTTCTAGGAATATCCGCGCGCAGATTTCACTCTTCCTCGAACAGAAATCGATCGTTAAGTTTCGTTATACCGACGGAACTTTCATTAATTTCAGATGCACAGGAAGTCTATTATTTTTTACGCCAAGTAACTTTCACCAGCCGCGCAGTTGAAAACAAGAGCGGCGTTGCGTCGCGCGTTCTGGTGAACGATTTCCTGCCTCGCGCGAAACGTACAGGTCGCTACGTGCAATTTCCGACCTCGAAACAGCGAATTAAACCGACTCATACTCGCGCGAACCCGTGACACGTACTTCGTCCGCTGACAAACACGAAAATTCATAAATCCCATCCGTGCAGCCCTAATTTGCCCGGCACACGAACCGCAGGCTCATCGATCACCCTGTCACGCGAGAAAGAAACTCGCGATTCGCTGACTAATCCTGCGAGGATCTCGAAAACTCCCTACGCTTCTTTAATAATTTACCAACGTTCTCGACGAATTTGCCATGCTAATGGCCGCCACGGGCTGTTCATTAGCACCCTGCCATCGGGCGTCGATTAGTTCGCGTTTGGCAGACAGTAGACTCCGAATTCGAAGATTCGCGACGTGATCACTGATCGGGAACCGAGTTCCTCGCTTAATTACCAATTTCCCTTGTCCTTTCATCCCTCTAGCCAGCCACGTTTTAATTAACAACTAGCTCCACGACGTCCATGCAGCTTGGACTGATTAAAAATCCGAAACAGGCTAATCTCTGTCAAGACCGATGTCTCTATTTTAATACTTTTATCCTTGTTTTCTTGTTTTTATCAAACGAAACAGTCTTACTGATCATAAAATATGAAGACGAATTTATATATGTATATAAATAAATATTTCAACACGAAGAAAAGAAACTGAAGAGCATAAATGGTGAATTGACAGGGAGAGTCACCGATTTTGACACTCCACTTGTAAATGAATTTTTCAGGAGTTTCCAAAATGGATTGCGAAAGAAGTTCTCAGATCTGGAGTAAAAATGAATTAGAATCCAAAAATTATTCGTTGAGGTGCATATTCGAATTATTAGATCAATGATTGTATAGTTCGTTTTATAGTATTTCTGAGTAATTTTTGAGTAAAAATTCTAAGTTATCCTGCTTGACTTCTCCATATTTTTCTTGATCATCAATTTCTCAGTATCTTTTATTCCATTTGCTCGAAAGCTCTTTCTCTTTCATTTCTTTATCCATCGATCACTTTTATCATCCCTCGCGAAGGCTGATGGCTCGATTTTAACGCTGAACCGAGTACAGCTTGACAGTTTTCAAATTTTCGAGTAAAAATTCTGCATTTAGTGTTATTAATTTTTAATATCTTCTATTTCAGTTCCTCTAGAGCTCTTCCTGTTCCATGTTTTTATCTACCGGTCAAACGACCGGTAGCTTTAGAGCTAGGGATCGATCGTTGATAGGTTAGGGGTGAGAATCCGTATGTTTAGAAACTTATTTGTAAACCGAAATTCCTGCAGGGTTATTTTGGTGAGACTGATATTTCCTTTTTAAACGAGGGGTGCAATTTGAATATTTATAAAATTGGTAATTAAATATTTAAAAAATTTTAAAATACGAAAATTAGAAGACCATGACAGCATTCTGCCTTTTAAGACGCGAGGCTTTGTTTCAGGTGGATTGAAACCAAAAATTCCTACGTTTATAACAATCTCATAGTATTCAGTGTCTCCCGAGTCTATAACTAGACCCTCTTTGAAGGAAATCGAAAGCTGCTGCTATATTTTTAGAGATCGATGCGACGAGGCTCCCTTAGGGGTGACTCGAGACACAAAATTCGCGAACCAAATTTAGATCGCAACGGCCCCTTGTCACGATCCATTTTTATGGATTATTTTCGAGTATTATATTTTTAGTCCCGGAGTATTCTTCCAAACTTGGGTATCATCGAACCCAAGGGGTTGAGACTCGAAACAGCAATTTTCTGTCGGCGAACTTGACAGGCACCAGCCTGAAGATAAGTAACCGTGAGATAATGGCCTTTCTCGGGATTATCGGGATTTGTCAGCAGGGGCGTAGCAGATGGTGGGATAAAAATTGGCAACGGGCGAGAATGACTTGCCATAAACTGGTCGAGCGAGGAGCGTAATCAGCTGGGGGTGTTAACTTGTTGCGCGGCCGCGGCGTGCTCCGTGAATTTTCTCGCTGCCTCTGCTCCCCTAATTCACTTCGAATCTTACGTAACCGGGTATCCTGATTAAAAAAGAACAAGCTGTCTAATCCAAAGATCCGTTATTTTCATCGACGCCGCAACGCGTCGAGTTCTATAAATTCCACGGGCTTCGGCTAAAATTAGAACATCCTGGAAGCCTGTGTCCCAGCTTGTCCGCGATAATTTCATTTCTCCGGCAGAGATATCCGCGTTATCGCTGCACGATTAATCGAAGGGGATGGGAAGAGTCAGCTGGTCACGCGAAACGTCCACCCACTGCTGTCACGACGCTGTCAGGCACCGTGAAAAAAGGAAAAAAAAAAAAAAAGTTCTATTTAAAATTCGAACTGCCGCAGACCGCAAACTTGCCATCCCTTCCAACGGTGCGGCTTGGTATTTTCAAAAATAGCAAGCCAGTCCCGGCTGTATCGCGAACTCGGTTCCATTCAGCGTTCCGTGCAGGGGCGTTGGAATAGAAAATAATCGAGGGCTTAGCCGCTCGTGAACGTGGAAAAGTTGTCACGCGCGGCGTCGGGCTATTTTACAATGGGTCGCTCGATCGGCTGCTGTGTATCGTTGCGTATCGATCCATCGAAACGACGTTAAGAAGACGGCAACTACGCTGGCAAATTGCTTCGCCGGATCTCGAACCGCGGCAACAGTTGTTCCCGCGAGGACGCCGGTTCCGAGCTGAGTCCTAGGCGCGGAGGTCGCACCCCGAGAAGTTGGCAGCGTCTTGGGGGGACACTCTAACTAGGGGGTAAGGTGATATCGAACGGAAGGAACGCGAAACTATCGAAATACCGCGACAGAGGTCCCCGAGGATGAATATAAACTCGAGGGTGTAAATCAATTGAAGAGCCTGACGATAACAGTGACACTCGATGGATGATAGATCACTCCAGCGAGGTCTGCTCGCTGAGAATAGGAAACGTTCTAATCTTGGAGACTGGTGTCGAAGTTCCGATTGATTATAGACTCGTTTATTCGATTAGGAATTAGACACGGTGCACCCGTTTCCCGTTGCTACGAGGTTTACACTTTGACACGGAACAGGACCTCGGTGGGTGCATGGATCGTTCGGAAAGATCGAGACGCGAAGCAACACCTACCAAGATATCGATGGGTATCTGCGAGGGTGCCTTGGATAGTCCTACGACGGTGAGGATGTAGACGACGGTAGTGGCGATGGCGAGCAGGACGCAGAGTGAGAGCCTGAGGGGTAGCGTGGCGAAGAGCAGGTAGAGCATGAGCAATAGCCATCCGAGCGCGTCCCCAGGCGTGACATCGGTGGTCTTGAAGTACAGCTGACCAAGTAGATGTGCGATGGTCAACTGCCAGGCCACGTGAGGGACCACCGACCAGAACGCGTCCTTTGCCCTCTGGTTGTGCTCGATCCAGGCCAGCAGGCCTAGGTTCAAGCCCAGGAAGACAGCGGTGAAGCCCCGAGCCGGTAGATCCTGCACCGGCACGACTAATGTCTGGATACCATACAACAGCACCGAGATCAGGAAGTACTCGAGACCACCGCGTCTCTGGCGAAGGGAGGAGGCGCGATAGAGCGTCTCTAGCTTGGCGCTGCTGAAGCTCGTCCGCAGCAGGTTCGACGGCCTGCCCGCGCTCAGGTAGGAATCCTCGTTCGAGGTCTCTTGTCTCCGTAACATGGCGCCGTTCTCTCTCGCTCTCTCTTTCTCTCCGCCTCTCCCCGTTTCACATACCTTCGGCTAAGGCGCGCGTTACACGCATGGAAACTCGGTCGCGCTAGCCTGCTGACGATGATGCGTCCGAGGAATATCGTCCACCGAGCGATCCACCGTTCGCTCCTGTCCTCCACTCGTTCCTCTTCGCTTCGCCACGAACCTGCACACCCAACCCTCCGAACGGTCTCACCCTCGGCGAGCCCCTTACGCGAGCACACGCTTCGCAACGGATGCTGACACCCAGTCCAGGCCCTGTCACCTCGGACTCGACCTTCCCGGCGATCGTTGCTCGCCAGCAGGACACACACGCCTCGGTAGCACTCTCACGCACTCTCACACACACGGCTTTTAGGATGCAGCTGCACCCGCGCGCGGGGTACTGGCCGGGTTACTACTGCCGCTGCTCTTTCTTCTCTACTCGGAGGGAAGCGGAGCGCCACTCTCTCCATCCGCTCCTCGCCGCCTCCACCGTCTCCGTTCACCTCCTCGCCCTCGTTCCCGTCCAGGCTTGCGCCATACGACCCCCAACAGCTCCGACCCTCTACGACGCGGGTCGATATCAACCACCACAGAACCCAGCGCGTCCACGCCAGGCCCTACCTGCGCCGCTCTCTGCCCTACCTACGCGTATCTGCTAGGTACCTACCGACCTAGCTGCACCCTTCGACACACCGCCGACGACCACCGCCGCCGTCACTCCGCCACTCGTTTTCCGTCAATTGCCTGGATCTCGGTCACCACCCGATGCTTTAGCGCGGCCATTCCTTCCCATTTCCTTCCCAACGTGCACCGGGCAATCGCAGGGGTCACCTTCTCGCGCAACCTGTCGTGTCCTTCTCGCGACCGCTGAACCCCTCGCAGGGGGCTGTTCCAACCGCGACCACTCGCTGGGCGCGCAGATCTATCCCGGAATGCTCGAAACTTCGCGATACTCTCGATCTCGGGACCTCGACGGTAAGAAAGTTGAACGGGTACTGGCTGGGTAGTCGATTTCCGACACCGAGCTCGCGTGTTATTTGTTTAACAGTTCCCGGAAAATATATTCCGCGGTTTTCTATAATTGTTGCTGGCCTCGGGACTAACCCGCTGACTCACTGCGTGTCTGTCTTGTATTCCGCTCGAACAGCGTGTTACGCAAATCGACCCGCAACCGTGTATTCTATGTTTGCGTTCGCGCGATGCTCGCGGTTGAATAGACCTGCTCCTCGGCTGGATTCGATCTTATTAATCGTCGCTTGAGATTGTTTATTAATAGAACGTCCGTGTTCCTGTCACTGCGAGGCGGACTGACAGGCGTTATTCGATGGAACGAAATAATCGATTCGCCTGGGATCCAACCGTCATCGATCCCCTGGCTCCGTTATACTTGCTCCGGAGACTCGAGACACAGAGGTGTAGAAAGGAGGAGCGTGGATTTCTTTCCTGAAAACGTTTAATCGATACCTCGGCCCCTGGATGGGGAGCTCGAAGATCGTTGGACCTTACAAAACATAAAAACGCACGATAGATAGCGTGTGCAAGACATATAGTTGGGTTGCACCGCGGTTACAATACGTGTTCCGAGTAAAAATGCATCCTCTGAGAGGAGGGGCGAATATAAAAGGTGAGAGTAATAGGAGAGTCAAGGATCCTAGGACCCCGACTGGACAGACATGTCTATGAGCTACGGTGAATCGAGTACGCTTGTATGTTAATCAAGAATGGGAGCTGATATTCAGCTCGAGACGGAGTCCCTGAGGCACGTCCTAATTCAATCCTCGACCAATTGGTCTAACTGCTTCTGCATCTCCTCCGGGACTATATAACCTAGCTGCTTCATCTCTTTGACGATTTGAGGCACTTTGCTGAGGTTGTCGATCCATTTATAGTAAGCCAATTCCTCCCTGGTCCCGCCGTACTTCTTCGGCAAATGCGACGGCGAGATGTGCTTGTGCAGGCTGTCCATGTTGCTGCCGTGGAAGAAGATCTTGTTCTGCATCCTCACGTCCAACAGTGGCTTGAACACCGAGAATATCACGTCGAACACCCAGGATTGGTGCAGGATGTGTATAGCGTGGGTTATCATCGGGAACGCTGACACCATCAGTGCTATCACCATGCTGGCGATCTACAGATGAAAAAAAAGGGCAGTTATTAGACGACTGTCTTCAGCTTCATCCATCATGACAGATAAAATCGTGGCATAAGCTATGGTTTTCATTTTACATCAGAGAAGACGCAAAACACTGTCAATTTAGAAAGGAATGGAGCTATTCGGTTGAAAAGAGAGTCTGTATAGAGACTGAATTAATTGTTAACGAGATGGTAGGATATTTCGAGGAGGTTTGATTCGAGGTGAAGTGATTTTTTCTTTAATGGCAGCTCTGAGCTCGCAAGTTCAATCCGTTGACACCATCAATGCTATCGCCATGCTGGCGATCTACAGATGAAAAAAAAGGGCAGTTATTAGACGACTGTCTTCAGCTTCATCCATCATGACAGATAAAATCGTGGCATAAGCTATGGTTTTCATTTTACATCAGAGAAGACGCAAAACACTGTCAATTCAGAAAGGAATGGAGCTATTCGGTTGGAAATAGAGTCTGTATAGAGACTGAATTAATTGTTAACGAGATGGTAGGATATTTCGAGGAGGTTTGATTCGAGGTGAAGTGATTTTTTCTTTAATGGCGGCTCTGAGCTCGCAAGTTCAATCCGTTGACACCATCAATGCTATCGCCATGCTGGCGATCTACAGATGAAAAAAAAGGGTAGTTATCTCTGTCTTCAGCTTCATCCACCATGACAGATAAAATCGTGGCATAAGCTATGGTTTTCATTTTACATCAGAGAAGACGCAAAACACTGTCAATTTAGAAAGGAATGGAGCTATTCGGTTGGAAAGAGAATCTGTATAGAGACTGAATTAATTGTTAACGAGATGGTAGGATATTTCGAGGAGGTTTGATTCGAGGTGAAGTGATTTTCCTTTAATGGCGGCTCCGAGCTCGCGAGTTCAATCGCGGAGATATAAAAGCAAGGATTAATTGGGCGTTGCGTTCACTATGCCTTTGCAGGGACTGAGTTTCCTAATTCATCTATCGATACCGAGATGATAAATTGAAACGCCTAAATTATCCAGCGTGGTAACGAGGAAGATCCGATTCCAGGTCACGGTCTTCGATTCTGAGAGTGGTTCTCAACAAACTTTGACAGCCTTTAGACCCACGAGGTGGCGATATTTCTGGATTCTAGCATTTTAATACCGGGAAATCTCCAATTTAGGACCTAGCAGTAGTCATCCACTTCGTAATCGTCATCCCGAATCGAAATCCAAGTGGAAGATCTTTCGAGAACCGAAGTTGCGTGAGACGAAGATGGCTGTCACCAAGTTTCCTGCTCTTCCGCGTTGTTACGCGTCGTTACCCTTCTCCATCGACTTAATGATCCGACGAAGGATCAGAAAGATTCGCGGAAGAAGACTCGCGCTAGGAACTTGGCGGATCGTGTAAGTTTCAAGGACACTATTAGCACGGCGGATGTTCGGCCGGGATGAATAAACGTGGCAGGAGGTAGCGAGATAAAACGAGAGACTGTTAGTTTCAAGGGCGTTACAGATGGTTCAAGTTTCAAGAACGCTGAAGGTAAATCGATACCGGTAGCCAAGATACCTCGCGCGGTTAAATCAGACGCTCTGTCGTCGCCATTTTGCGTAATTCTTGCTCCTCGCACATCGAACTCGAACTCGAACTTGCACTCGAACTTGTTCTCGTGCGGCCATTTTACACTGGTCGAGGACAGAGCTACGAGAAGGAATTATGGGAACGTAAGATGGTACCTGAGGAGTGATGGTCCACGCATGCGCCATCGTGATGCCCTCCAGATCGAAAATGGCCACGCCGCCGAGGATCTGAGCCCTGGGCTCCAGCACTCCGAGCTCCAGGATGATGACAGTGGCTTTGAACAGCTCTTCCACTGGGTACTTCCTCGGGTCCCAGTTTCCCAGTCGATATATCATCATCCTTCTGCCACACTGGGTCCTATACGCTGGCACTGTCATCACGTCGTCCTCGCCTATGTGCTTCATCTCCACTGGACTCACGTCCTGATGGATCTCCGGGTGCTCCTCCTTGAAGTTGCAGTAGTTCACGATCTATCGAAAGAGCATCTTCCTTCAGACGTGCAATATTTGGTTTAATTATTCGAAATTTTTCGAGTCTCGTTATGCCAACGGGGGAATTTGTTTCACGGATGCTGCAGTAACCTAGATAAAATAGCGGAAGGTGTGCGACTTCTCTAACTCGGTTTACGCAGCGTTGTTCTAAATAAGAGGACCAAGTGCTCGCTTGCTTTCAAATCGAATTAGCTTGTCCTCGAATACGAAGTTCCAGCGGACCAGAGAATCCTCGGGAGGTTGCTCTGTGGGGCAAGCAGCCGTAGCTAAAGGGAACTGAAATTTAATCCTCTGCGGACGGGAATTATTTTCAATTTGCTTAGCGCGAGTCGAGAGACATCGGAGCACAGGATGTACAGTTGGGAATCGCGATTCGAGTGAAGGGGGACCGGCGATGATAAGGGCAAAATTATTTTTCACGAGTAGCAAGCGAAAATATTAACTTCGACACGACCTTTCCCGACATTTTTCTTTCCACGTACAACCGGTCAACGTATAATTAAATCACGCACCACTTTTTACCTATCTATTCATCATACAGGGTGGCACTGGAAGACTGAATGACACGAAACAAAAATAAACTGTATTCTTTTTTGACGTAGCCATTTTAATCTCCAAGGGGTGCTCTATAACTTGCACAAAAGGGACGTAAAAAGGGTTGAAAATGAGCAAGTCGTGACTTTTTCACATGCTCACCCTGTACCTATTCTCAAATTTTCTGTAATTACTGGGAAAGGAATTTTTCCAGAATTTCTTACATGGGAAGGAAGACTAAACAACGATTTTTATTTAATTATTGACGTTTGAAATAATACGGAAGAGATTCTTTTAATTGTTGGAATATTAAATCGGTCCCGGAAACGCAATCAACTCCGTTAATGATCCACGACACGCGAAATTGCGACTGTGAAGCGAATTCGTCTCGCGTTTCTCAGCCAACAGCTAACGAGGGCTCTTTGCAGAGTCTCGATTTTCCGGAAATCCCTCGAGCTAAGTTTCCTTTCCTCTCGAGGATCACCCCTCGTCGATCCTGGATCACGCGACGACTCTCTGAGGAGCTCGTGGGAAACGATCGATTAATTGGTCGCGTTGAACAATTAGTGCTGCCATTGGAAATGGTTCTGACTCGACTCTCGTTTGCTCACCGAATGCACTTTCGTTCGACTTCGTCGCGATTAACCCGAGATCTGTCGGTCTCTTTCTTTGCTACTCGCTGTTGACAGCGTTTTGACAGATAACTGTTACAGGCAAAGGTACGGGATGTTTACAGAGCTGTCCACGGAGATAATAATAGACGGATGTCCTCCGTGGAAGATAAACCAAAAATCGGGTCAGAAATCGTGAAAATCGGCTGAGAAATCGTGAAAATCGGTTCAGGAGGAACGTGTTGGCAGGGAATAGACTGGAGAAACAATTCTCTCGAGATATTTTCGATCACGAGTAGATAGTCTGCTGTTAGCTCGCCTTGACACGATTGTGCAACTGTTGCAGCTGGACTCGTTTCGCAAATCGCTGCCAACTATCTCTAGCGATTTTTACACCGATTCGCTGATAAGCCGTCGTTTGACAGGGGTAACTACAGAGATCGGGGTGAAAGAGGTAACGAATGATTAAGGAATTGAAATAAAACTCACCAATCTATGTGCCCGATTCACGTTGAAGTTCCTCGACCTCAGGAATCTGATGAGAAAATCGTCGTCCATCCGGTGCGGCAGGCACTCTCCTCTTTCTGTGAAACACAGAGTAGCCAGGACATAGAGAAAGAATAGCAAGCACCGTGAACGAGCCGCAAATAGTAATTACCGTAAATCATATCCCTCAGTTCCTGAAGAGTCCTGCACTTCACGTCATCCGTCTCTCCCAGCTCCCTCCTCGCGTACTCCATCACTTCCGGCGAGGGTTCCCCGAGATCCAGGCACACCTCTTCGTCGTTCACCTGGACCTGATCGTCCTTCAGCTCCGGCATCCCGTTCAGATCGATATTGCCGCGCTTTCCAACATCGACTTCGCTCTTTCCCAGTGAATCCTCCTGCAGAAGGATCTCGTTCCTCAGTCTAGGGCCCTGGATCCTGCCATTCGACGGGTTCTCGTCACCCTGCGGCATGATGAGCGTTCGCGTGACCACTCGGGCAAATCGGTTAGCTAGAACTGCGCTCAGATAAGCGTCATTCAACGACGCGACGTCGGAACGACAGATAACCTCGACGGAATCGCGGCTGGCCCCGCGACAATCACCGTGCGCTAGCAATTCGCTGTCAACTTTCGACCAGTTTCGCTTTTGTCCTTTTCCAAACCTCTCTTTCCCAACTGTTCCCACAAATTTGAATTCGCTGACGGGAAGAAAGAGCAAATCTTCGATTTAATTTCAATTCAGCTAGATTTCGGTCCCGTTTTATTTACACGGATTCGAGGAATTTCTTCCGGGAGGCGAGAGATATGGAATTGGGACTGGGTCCGCGTCACGAGGTTCATTCCCGTCGCTCTCGTCGGTATAACTGGCTGTTCTTCACTCTCAACGATGTATATTCGCGACGATAATCACGCGACAGAGATGGCCTGTTCCTTATCTGTCGCAGACGTGAACGCTGCAACGTGATCCAGCGGTCACGTGACGCCTGCACGAAGGATCCTTCCGGTTCCTGCACGATATTCTCAGCGAACAAAGCGTCCCGAGACTTTCAACCAGCTGCTGAATTATTAGCCTGCTTCCACGCGTAACTCCGCGACTTTCTCTCTGAAAAATTCTCGATCCACGAGTGTTTCGCGGTTCTTCGCTAGTTCACTACACAAAATCCGGATTTTATTTGACAGAGTGGTATGACAGAAATGTCACTGGATATGCTTCTTGTTCTTGTTCTTATTCTTCCTCGGGGGGTGTCCTTTGGGAAGGTTGCGAAGGATGGAATTTCGATTAGAATCACACGGACGAAGCGGACCGCGGAGAGACACTGAGAGGAAAATGCACGGGGTCCCGTGGACACGGAGCAGCGACGCAGATCGGTGACGCAACTGGCAGCAACTACGGGGCCCGGCCTCGTTGCATCGACTCAAAATGCAGTTTCCCTCTTACCTGCGGCCTCACCTTTGAGAACCTTAGCGTTAGAGGCAGCCATCGCGCCGCTCTCCCAGCCGACTCAAGGTTGCGCGTTTCGTTTTCACATTTTTGAACTTATTTGCTTTGGGTCCGTTTCGCAACTGTCCCTTTCGTAATTCCGAAACTCGTTATTCCGCTGCTACAATTTCTTTGCGATCAATTCTATTGGCATTTCGCATGGACGTCTGCTTTAAACGCGATTAGGATAAATAATTGGGACTTACCATCCTTCGCATTTGGGCCCAATTAATTAAATTTATTGGAATAATTAAATTGATAGTAATACTGAATAGGGACAAAGAAGATTTGTTCATAAAAATGGTAAATGGTTCGCTATGTTACTTTTATGGGCATGAGTCCCAATTTAGTTTCATAGTTTAAGGAGTTGATTGGAAAAATATGATATATGGTACTCGAAAAAATTGGTTTCTTTGCGAAAAATTAGAATTATTGATAAATTTCCAATTCTTCATTGCAATTGGGCCCAATTAATACAGAATAAGGATATCTTCGATTAACACTATGGTCTTTCTTCTAATTAAAAATTTCGCAATCAATTTTGTCGCTTTGGTCACTCGTCTCTGAGATTTTTCTTTCGATATAGGTGAAATCAATTTTTCCATGTCACTTCGTCCTCCATTTTTCTAAAATTTTTCTTATTTCGTTTCTTCTTCCACCGGTTATTTGGCCGGTCACAATAGAATTAGTATTAAAAAACGTATTAACGGTTCGTCATATTAATTTCACGAATACGAGTTTCAATTTAGGTTGAGAGTTCAAGGAGCTGATTAGAAAAATACGATATATGATATTAGAAAACATCGGTTTCTCTGGAAAAAATAGGTGTTACTGACAAATGACGATACTTCATACTGATTTATTAAGCGAGCTCGCGAGCGCAGAAAATCGCCCATGTTGTATGAGATTTGAAGAATATCGAGGATAAAATTAAAAAACGTAGAAACGACTCGCAATCACGTTCGCCATATTACTTTTCCGAGCACGAGTTCCTTTCCAGTTTAAAGTTCAAGGAGCTAGCGAGTGATTTGAAAGAATCGTTTCCTAAAAAATATAAGTTGTCATTAAATGACCGATAATTTTAATTAAAAATTTCGCGTTTTACTCACTTGACCTTGCCAATTTTAATTTTCTTTTATACATCAATTTTCTACTCGACGTTCTTAATATACAGGGAAATCGATTTTTCTATTTTTCGAGATTCTTTTTTCCTTAATTTCTTCGCCTTTTATGCATAAATTTTCTCTTCTTTTTTGTTAATTTTTTCGTCTTCTATACATAATTTTTCTATTCATTTTCGTTAATTTTTTCGTTTATCGATTATTTGTCTGGTCTAGTAGATTCACGATGCCTTTTATTTCTTTTCAATCGGTCGTTTTGCAACAGGCTATAAAATTTCATCAATGAAAATGCACGCGCTGGTAATTGATCAAATTGACTTATATAAAATTGATCAGGCATCGAAGCAACGGGTCGTCGAGACAAGTGAGTCGACGTAAATTTTATAATCAGACTAGAACCACGTTAGAGTCATACGGAGAAATATGAAAGCCATCGTAATACTTAATGCCCATACTTACAACTTTCATTGTTGACTCGGACTTTATTACCATGAATTATCCTATCCACACTTCGGACTAGTACATTCAGGACTATTTAACTTAACAAATGATTTACGAGACGTGCTGAACTGAAATGCAGTTAGGATGAATCAATTATCCCATTTCTGGTACTCTCAAAATTATACTATTTATACCATTTCACTCTACGATTATTTCCACGTCGGTGATAATTTTGCAAATAACATTTTTTAAAATATCGCGAAATTATTCGAAATTGCAATTTCTGGAATTTTCGTTATATAATTTTATTAAATTTCATTAGGATTATTTCGATGGATTTTAAATGGAGAAATTACAAAAGCAACGTATGTGGCTTAACAGTGACAGTCAGTCAGAGACAGTGGGCCCTCCTAATCTCGAGATAAATCCAAGTATCTTGAACAGCGATCAAGTACAAAATCTTAACTTAGAAAGTCGGCGTTGGCCTAACTCCACGTTGCTATACATCAACGCACAAGATCCACGAGCTTTCTAAATCACGTAAATAGACCGTTCTCGCGTATCAACGTTCCATTAGCAACTTTTTCGTCGGGCCTCGAGTGTTCAGCCATCGAACAAAGAAGCAACGTAGACATGGTAGTTGTTCATGGGAGAAAGTTTCGAGCTACTTGTAAGCAGCTGGCGTTAGCAAAATTAAAATCAAGCGGCTGAATGGGATCCAAGGTCGGTTGAACGATCGTTCGAGAGATCGGCTGAATAGATCTGTTCAGACACGGTCGATAGACCTCGCTGCTCGTGACCTGGTCCCCCGGTACCAACGGAATGATCATAGATTTATAAGTAAAAGCGCGCCGATGCTATCTGATCTTCCGTTCTCTCGAGATCGGGATGAAAGCAAAATTTCATTATTTTTATATCAAAATAGGAACGATATGATACAAAGTGAAATTAAAACGTGATCGCGGTTGCGATAGCGTCGAGTGCAACGTTCTACCCCTGATTTCAACAGATCGACGGATGCGGTGGATCAAAGGACAATAAAGGATCCATGCCTGGTACGATTGTTTGACGATTTTTGCGTCAATCATTGCCGATTTTCACATTTTCCAAGTGAAGAATGATATTAAGATGTAATGACACAAGATAAATTCGATGGAGAGGAATATAACGAGATGTGACGCGACCTAGGGAATTTTCCCTAGGACGTGACGCCGAGATTATGTCCTACGGACACTGTACATCAGGAGATAATAAGGAATCGATGACTGATAAGATTGTTAGATGATTTTTCCGTCAACCATTGCCGATTTTCACATTTTCCAAGTGAAGAATAATATTAAGATGTAATGACATAAGATAAATTCGTTGAAAAGGAATATGACGAGATGTGACGCGATCTAGGGAATTTTCCCTAGGACGTGACGCCGAGACTACGACCCATAGACACTGTACATCAGGGGATAATAAGGAATCGATGACAGATAAGATTGTTAGACGATTTTTCCGTTAACTATCGTTGATTTTCACATTTTCCAAGTGAAGAATGACGTTAAGATGTAATGACACAAGATAAATTCGATGGAGAGGAATGTAACGAGATGTGACGCTATCTAGGGAATTTTCCCTAGGACGTGACGCCGAGACTACGACCCATAGACACTGTACATCAGGGGATAATAAGGAATCGATGACAGATAAGATTGTTAGACGATTTTTCCGTTAACTATCGTTGATTTTCACATTTTCCAAGTGAAGAATGACGTTAAGATGTAATGACACAAGATAAATTCGATGGAGAGGAATGTAACGAGATGTGACGCTATCTAGGGAATTTTCCCTAGGACGTGACGCCGAGACTACGACCCATAGACACTGTACATCAGGGGATAATAAGGAATCGATGACAGATAAGATTGTTAGACGATTTTTCCGTTAACTATCGTTGATTTTCACATTTTCCAAGTGAAGAATGACGTTAAGATGTAATGACACAAGATAAATTCGATGGAGAGGAATGTAACGAGATGTGACGCTATCTAGGGAATTTTCCCTAGGACGTGACGCCGAGACTACGACCCATAGACACTGTACATCAGGGGATAATAAGGAATCGATGACTGATAAGATTGTTAGGCGATTTTTCCGCCAAATTCGATGAAGAGGCATGTAACGAGATGCGACGCGATCTAGGGAATTTTCTGTATGACGCGACCACGATCCACGGATGCAATACATCAAGGGATAACAAGGAATCGATGCCTGGAACTATTGTTCAACGATTTTTACATTTTCCAAGTAAAGAATGACATTACAATGTAATGGAACAAACGAAATTCGAAGAGAGGAGTGTAACGAAATTTTTTGATTCCATCTAGGGAATTTTCCCTATAACGCAGCGCCGAGTCTACGACCCACGGATGCAGTACATCAAGATATAATAAAGAATCAATTCTTGGAACGATTGTTAACCGATTTCTATATTTTCCAAGTGAAGAATTATAATGTAATGGCACAAGCTAAATTCGTGGAAGAGGAATGTAACGAGATTTTTTGACGCGATCTAGGGAATTTTCCCCATGACACGACCTGTGGATGCAGTACATCAAAGAATCAATGCATGGTACGATAGTTAACCGATTTCTATATTTTCCAAGTGAAGAATAGCATTACAATGTAATAGAACAACCTAAATTCGTGGAAGAGGAATGTAACGAGATTTTTTGATGCGATCTAGGGAATTTTCCCTATGAGGCAACATCAGGATTGCGACCCACGAATGCAATACATCAAAGGATAATAAAGGATCGATGCCTGAAACTATTGTTAACCGATTTTTATATTTTCCAAGTGAAGAGTGACGTGACGATGTAATGGAACAAGCGAAATTCGAGGAGAGGAGTGTAACGGGATGCGACGCGATCTAGGGAATTTTCCCTATGACTCCGAGACAACGACCCGAGGGTCCGACGCAGAAATTAGACGCGTGAAACGCATCGGTTGCAGTGATCCGCGTTGTCCAAAGATGCATCGTCGAGTTGCGAAACGTGTCATGGTCATCCTGTTGCATCCACGGCTCGGTGCTTTCACTAACGACCACGTCGTGGGTGTATTTACGATTCACGTGCACGCGGACAAGGAGAAAGTAAAAGTAAGACTCTCGAGCCGGCGTTCCATCACTGATATTTCCACGTTTCACATGCGTTCCATAAATCACACCTAGGCACCTTTTACTGAGAATAAAGGTTCCCGATGATTTATTTCCGTCATTTATTTTCCATAACGTCGTCCAACGACTGTATAAATTGGAAGAAATTAACAAAATGGCGAATTAATTGTTGAGATATTAACACTTCCAACGAATATTACTTATTATGTGTCATACCTTTAATTGTATTTTTATATAATTACTTAATGAAAATTAATTTTATATATTTTTATATACAGGGTGACCATTGAAGTACTGAATGATATACGAGAAAAATAAGTTTTCGAAAAATATATTATTTTATTTGCGAATATTTTTAATAGACTTTTCCAGTATTGACTCTGATGACCGCCATTTTCCTGCTCGCAATGAAAGAAAATAAAAATCATCGAAGATGAATAATCTACGATTTTTTCAAACTCTTCAGTCTTTCACTATCCACCCTTTGTTTGTATATTTTTATATTATTAAATTATTTATTATATGTTATTATGTCAGTAACCATAAAACTACCACAATCAGTCAAATTAACCAATGGATGAGAAAGATAAAGAAGAATATTAAGAAAAATCGCATAAGAGGAAATATTCGAATTGGTATTATGTATGTACCAAAAGACAGATTACCTAGTTAAGTAATTTACAGTCTGTTTTGCAGTCTCGAACGCTGGTAAAAGACACGTAAAAACGAGAAACGATCACGTAATAATAATCACCCATAAATTAAAAGAAAAACAACAAACACCTAATACTAAAACTGTAAAAATATTCAGCAAAAATAAAAGAAAGGGGAAACAAAATTAAATGATCACAGCGATGACATCAAATGCGGAATTTCAAATGAAAAATTCAAAAATGTCATTTCCATGCATGAAGTGCAAATAACGTTATCTCCAGATGGAACAAATTCTCCGATCATAGAGATCGATTTTATCTCAAAATGCTCGATCAAAATTTAAACTCGATAAAAATATTTTTATTCGAAACAAAATATCGTATCATTCGAAATCTTAAAAGTAACTAGATCTGCTACAGATCTTAAAATTCCCTATTTACCTCGATTTAACTAGTGATTTTCCATGGGAAATTGTCAAAATGAAAAGTATCGAAAATATTTCGTATAGATCTGACATAGATCCCGAAATCCGATCATAAAGATCGATTCTATTTTAAAATCCTTGATCAAAATTTAAACTCGATAAAAATATTTTTATTCGAAATAAAATATCGCATCATTCGAAATCTCAAAAGTAACTAGGGCTGCTATATCTCTTAAAATTCCCTATTTACCCTGACTTAACTAGTGATTTTCCACGGGAAATTGCCAAAATGAAAAGTATCGGAATTATTTCAAATAGATCTACCATAGATCCCAAAATCCCCTAGTCATTCATCTCGACTTAACGAGTGCTCTAGGCATGCGCCAAAGTGGGAAATAAAAATTCCGGCTGACAGGTATGAAATAATGAACCGATCTCGAATACAAACACGTAAAGCGGTCATAGAGAATTTAAAACGAATTTAATATGACAAGCCTGGAAATATATCTTGTTCCCTGAACATTATTAGAAACCCGCCTTAACGATTTACTTCGGAGTATCTCTTAGCTCGCTGTGAGTTATAGGCCTATTTCTTTGCTGGCTAGGCTCGAACGACCGCCAATTTTTACGGCCCCGATTCCCGTAATAGCGTTTTAATGGCACGCACGATTCGCCTTTGCGATGAAATAACTCGCAATAATTCGTCATTACGTTCGTTGATGCAATTTCGCTGAGCTGCATAAGCCGCATGTCCTCGTCACTTTCTCTGTTCGCGCGGATGTTGCTGCAACTTGCCGTTTCGTTTGCCAACTATGGCATTTCACTTTGTTCACAGCCTAACTGCAGACGATTCCGAGAGTCATCGAACAGCTCACGATGTCCCGGTTATCATCCACGTCCCACTTCTGCCATTTTTCACGCCGTTCTTTCGCGACGCCGGGATTATGCAGCAGCGCCCCCAACGATTGCGAACAAAATGGTGGCGCGAGAGGAGGATGATCGATTGTTCGATAGAGCTACTGAATGAAAGTATAATTCGTATCAGCTTGTTCTGCAGATACGGGATTGTAAATTATTAGCTAGCTGTCGGAGGAAAAGTGAAATGGAATGGCGAAGCTATATATCGAGTGTAATTACAGGTTTACCGAGAGACAGGGAATTTCCTCGAGGATTAATCGATGCAAGACTTCTTCGAGACCGTCTCTGTCCTGTCTGATTTCTAAACTGACCTTGGCACGAAGCGAAATAGCGAAACGTTAGAGTCGATGGATAAAATTCACAGAGGAATGCGAAAATTTAATTGGGACCAGGGGGAATAGGGATGTTAAAAATAGGGACGTCATTTTGGAACTCGAGATCTACCAATTTAAAAATGTCGAAGACTTTATTGCGAGGAGTGACAGAATTTAACAGGGAAAGTTCTTTTCATTGACACAAGACTCATCAAAAATAAGAATTTCGAAGACTAAACTGCAAAGGATGACAGAAATTGACAGAAATTAGGAAATATTCGAATGTCAGAGCGTCCTTAGTCAAAATTTACAGAGATCAAGCGGTTTTGGAGTTATGTGAAAGACAAATACTATAATGGGTACCTTAAACGATGCCAAAATCCAATTGGAACCAAGAAAAATCGAGATATCAAAAATCAGGAGACCATTTTGGAATTTAAAGACTCCACTACTAAGAACGACAGAAATTCCTCCCAAAAATTCTTTCATTGACACCAGATTCCTCAAAAATAATACTCTTTCAACCCCAAAGACTCGAAGCTTTCACTGCAACGAGCGATCAAAATTTACAAAAATTGATCTACCTTTTGCCAATTATTGACAGCGGTCAGAGCAATCCTGATCCACACCAGTGTTCCTTAAAAATCTCAGAGATTACAAAGACTAAATACAAGAAATTATAGTAATTCCTCCCAAAAAGTCCTTTCATTGACACCAAACTCCTCAAAAATAATACTCTTTCAACCCCCCGAAGAATTAGAAGCTTCTGCAAAGGACGATAGAAATTTACAAAAATTTATTTGCATTTTGCCAATTATTGACAGCGATCAGAGCAATCCTGATCCACACCAGTGTTCCTTAAAAATCTCAGAGATTACAAAGACTAAATACAAGAAATTATAGTAATTCCTCCCAAAAAGTCCTTTCATTGACACCAAACTCCTCAAAAATAATACTCTTTCAACCCCCCGAAGAATCAGAAGCTTCTGCAAAGGACGATAGAAGTTCAGAAAAATTGATCTGCATTTTGCAAATTAATCAAAGTGATCAAATGTACGTTAAATCGAAAGATTCCACGACGAAGTACGCGTTTAAAATATTTGAAGCACTATTTGTAAGGATGCAGGAGGTACTCACCTTGTGAGGCTGTTTCGTCAAGGACGTGATGCGATCCGTGCGCTAGCGCGATCCTGCGTGCACTGCGACCACTGGAGAACCTACTCAGCCGGTTTCATGCCTCTTCCGTGTTTGTAAATCTGCGAGCGAGAAAGTTGCACGCCGATTGTGGCACAACCCAACGACGCACGAATGCTCGTCGTGCTGACACCGCTTCCTGGAGGGCCTGGCTTGCGCCTCGGTCATTTGACACCGTTCATTCGCTTCCTGCTTCGTCCTCCTGCGATTCGTCCACGATTAACGTTTTACCTGTTCAGCCTCTCTTGTCTCGTCAACCGTCCTTTGAACTTTCCCGATACCCGCAGACGTCGAGCATGTTTACAAGCAAGTCTAGTTACGTAAACGGCAAGACGCTGTCAACGATTTGCAACTTTGGAGCGGTGTATCTCTGGGTAGAAAAATCCCACGAGTGTCAATCAAATTTCATTTTACAGAGGAAGATTAGTAGCATGAGTGACAGTGCATAGAAATATTGAGAAAAAATTACTGTCTTTGAAATACTTTCAAAAATACCCCGAAAAGCGAGAGTCTCTATTTATTTCCTTTTTTATTTTTCATTTACATGCTAAGAAATTTTCAGTATGTTGCTCTATACTATAGATGATCATAGTCCTCGAGTCTACGCTGCTGTTGACACGTTTTTCCTCAAAAAATTTTCCGTATTTTATAATATTCATAAATATTATTAATTTTCGGTATATTCCTTCGCTTGGGAGAGTTATCCTGCAGAATTTGTAACATTGACGCCCTTGGCTACTGTGGTCGCATATACGCGCTCAGAAATTGTGCTTTTGTGACACGGAGGGTGCATATAAACGCTCAACACAGTTTGTTTTTTTGACACGGAGGGCGCATCTCTGCCCAAAATTTTGCCGTTCTCGACGGTCATTGTAAATGAATTCCTACCCGTGTTGTACGATCTGTGCGTTTCAAAGTCTGCCGTAGTCAAAGGGTTAATAGAAATGACACGCGCTTCGAATCCAGGTGAAAATGCTAGCTCCGATAGACACGGTGATTACAGTTGCGTGTCCGGTAAGAGTGCAGGAACGCGATGGTGAAGCAACAAGGATCGGGTCGAGAAACTCGCTGAACAGTGAAATTGCTACTAATCCAGTAATTTCTTCTGCATTATCACGGAAAGTGCTTCTCATTGCTCGAGCGTAGTGGGCACCGTTTCGAAATGCACAGGAAGCGGAGTAATACCAGTTTCTTGGCTTCTGCAAATCATAATTCCATTTTGTGGCAAAATATCGCAACGTTGGGAAATTTCAGTCTTGCCTCGATCTCACGAGCGACTGATTCAATTAGAGAAGACGAAAAATCATTTCGTTCAATTCGATTACACCTGTCCACGTCGAACCGTGTCCAATTCGCTGTCAAATGACAGGAAAAGCTGGTCCAACTCTGATTGCATCCTCGACGCAGGGATCGAAGATGTTCTCGTTGACGGGATCGAATTCTCGAAGGGACGTCTGGGATTGCAGGATTAGCAGACTTGGCCATCCCTGTGCAGCCATTTTTTCTTGTTTAACGGCTCCAGGGAGCCAACTAATCTCGAGCTGCTGATTCAGTTTCGAGGGTTGCTCGACGCCTAATGGCTGGATAAGCTGCTCGTTGGAGCAGAGACTCTGGACCCGACCGGGTTAACGAAGTCTCTCACGAAAGAGGGATTCCAGGAAATTCGAAACCCAGGAAGAAAAATGTCGGCTTGGACGGGCGCAGTTAACGAAATGGGACTGCTCGATCTTCCGACAGAGGAACTGGGTGAACACGATAAAGGGAACGTGTCAGCAGAGTGTCCGAGAAATATATATTTCCTGATTTAATTTCAACGTGAAAATCGCAGAACGAGGTTGTGAAACAACTTTCATTTTGTACACCCAACGTGTGCAGCTCGCCATTCCATTAGCATACATTCTTGTTGAGCACATTAATTCCTAGTACCAACGTAACGTCAACGAGTTATGAAACCGTTGGATGGATATAATCTTTGATTTCGAATCTCTCGTAACCTCTATCTATATTGATCTCAGACATGTCTTAATTCCGAGCTGGAGCTAGTAGGCCAGTCGAGACGACTGGCTCCGGACGTTTCGTCGGTGAAATTGGTAGAAACACGTGGCTGCTTTTGGGAAAATTAACATGGAGGATTATCAAAATAGAAAGGTCGATGTAGATAATATTCATCATCATCGTGTCGTTTGAATTATTATTTAAACACACGTCATGGGTTGGTAGTTGTAACGCTGGTCCGATAAGAAATTCGCAAGTCCCGTTTTATCACCGTGCGAATTCGAAAGAAAATTTCTAAAAACGGTCCTCGTGAGAAGAAGCTCTTGAAAAATGACTAAAATCGTTCGAGGAATATCTGGACAATAGAAGACAGGCTTGAAAGAATTTTTAGGAAGCAAGACAGGAAAATTAAGTAACTATTAAATTAAGTAATTAATTAAATTAATTAACTTATTAAATTAAGTAACTAACTTAGAAGAAGGTTACCAAAATTATTTGAGAAGACTCTTAGGGATCCGGATAAGTTTGGAAACTCAATTTAAAGGTTCAAAAATTCGTAGAAACTCCGTTTGAAGATCCAAAAATTCGTAAAAACTCGGTTTGAAGATGAGAAAAATTCGTAGAAACTCGGTTCGAAAATTCAAAAATTCGTAAATACTAGGTTCAAGGGTTCAAATATTCGTAGAAACTAGGTTCGAAGGTTAAAAAATTCGTAGATATTAGGTTTAAAGTTCGAAAATTCGTAGAAACTCGGTTCCGAGGTTTAAAAATTCGTAGATACTAGATTCAAAGGTTCAAGAATTCGTAGATACTAGGTTCAAAGGTTCAAAAATTCGTAGAAACTCGGTTTAAAGGTTCAAATGTTCGTAGAAACTCGGTTCGAAGTTTCATAAATTCGTAGAAACTCGGTTCAAAGGTTCAAAAATTCGTAGAAACTAGGTTCAAAGGTTAAAAAATTCGTAAAAACTCGGTTCGAAGGTTCAATAATTCGTAGAAACTCGGTTCAAAGGTTCAAAAATTCGTAGAAACTCGGTTTAAAGGTTCAAAAATTCGTAGAAACTCGGTTTAAAGGTTCAAATGTTCGTAGAAACTCGGTTCGAAGGTTCAAAAATTCGTAGATACTAAATTCAAAGGTTAAAAAATTCGTAGATATTAGGTTCAAAGGTTCAAAAATTAGTAGAAACTCAGTGAAAAAGTTCAAAAATTCGTAGATACTAAATTCAAAGGTTAAAAAATTCGTAGATATTAGGTTCAAAGGTTCAAAAATTAGTAGAAACTCAGTGAAAAAGTTCAAAAATTCGTAGAAACTCGGTTTAAACGTTCAAATGTTCGTAGAAACTCGGTTCGAAGGTTCAAAAATTCGTAGATGCTAAATTCAAAGGTTAAAAAATTCGTAGATATTAGGTTCAAAGGTTCAAAAATTAGTAAAAACTCAGTGAAAAAGTTCAAAAATTCGTAGAAACTCGGTTCGAAGGTTCAAAAATTCATAGAAAATCGCCAATCTAATTTACCGAAGAATTCGAAGCTCGAAAAATACTCGAGTGCTCAGAAGACAGCAAGAGGACAAAATCGAAAGAAATACGAAAAGCAAAGCCGATCTCCGTGAAACGTGCTAGCATTTATCCACTTAATACATCGATCATGAACCGCGGGAAAGGCTAAGAGTTCGCGCGCGTTCGCCAAATAAAAGGATCACAAGACGCACAGTATGGATTTCACTGTGCAAGTGGACATGGCAAAGCGACTGCGAAATCGTCGGCTTAGAAAGGGAAATCGCGAAGTTTATCGGAGACCGGAAACCACGATACGTCCATGGCAGCTGGAATGAAGCCTGAACGTGTAGGAAGTAAGAGTTTCCCTTTCTGACGGCGATCGGCTAATCGTTTCTCGAGTTGATTCGATAACGCCCTCGATAATTGGCCACGGCTCGGATCGCGTCTATCATTAGCCCAATTATATCGATATGCAATTACTCTTCCGTAGACTGCACCGCGCCGATATTTCTCGCGTCGCGCCAATTATCCAGGGTGTCAATTATATTTTTATTTCGTTAAACACAAGCGACTCCGGGAGCAGAGAAATCGGCAGTGAACCGCCTGCGATCGGTATCGCAGATCGTAGAAAGATATCCGAGATACCAGTATTGCACAGCCGAACGCGCCTAATCGATGCCAACCGCGGATCGCTGCGCTTTACGCCGCACTGGAAGAAGAAAGATGGCGGACAAACAGGAGAAATCGCGTGATCGGTTGTTATTAAGAAAATCCGCACTTTCTAGATAAGCTTGGACGAAAATGTAAATCCGATGTTTACCCAGAGAAAAGCAAACGGACGAGAGATAGATACTTAATGGCTGTTTGACAATCGGAGACATGTCTTCTGTGTTTCCTGTCACGTATATCATCTTTATCCTCGGCCGGTTTACGTAACCGACCGTCCTTCTCGAAGGAGAGGTCGTGGAAAATTCGGGAAAAACGGGCCAGCCATTATTCACGATCGCACCGAGGGACGAAATTCTCGCTAAGCTGTCAACCGCAGACCACTCGTGACACGGCTAGAATTTTACAGCCAGTCTCTTTACGAGCACGTGTCGCCGGACTTGGAATAACGCAGACTGGAATTACAACTGGAAAGGAAGGACACGCAGTCTGAATCCTTTTTGTCTCATGTCAGAATGTCCAGGTATTACACAATCCCTCGGGAACGACGCGAACAATCAACAGATGGACAATTAATCACAGCCGATATCGTCCACAGGCCAATTAAGCGGAGAGAAAAAATGTCGTGTAAAAAGTCACGCGTTTTTATTTCGACAACGTGTCCCAGTGATCCCCAGTCCTAGAAAACTTGCTCGTAGAGAGGGAAGTATTACGAGGATAGTTGACAGCGGTTTGAGAACCCTCCTCGCGATCCGTGATTAAGCAAAGACGAGCTAATTACCAGGTTATTATTTCCGCGTAATCGTCGTCACCAGTTTTTCACCGTTTGTTATCGATATTGAAGATCCTATTTTCGTATTCGTCTCGCATCAACAGGTTCGGATAAGGCTTCGCGAGGCCTTCCGTGATATACCGCGTGGATCTGCTTGCTCGAAAACTGGAAAAGTACTAAACGACTGGTGGAAACGCGATGTTCCTTCCTTTTCACTGCGACACGGCCACTGAATACTAATGTCCCAGCTAGTACGTGCCTCTTTGAACCTCCTGCGCCACCGCGGATGCAACAATGGCGGCGGATGACCAAGCTTCTGTCAATCCTCGCGCAATATGGCGTTCCACCGACCTTAAGCTCCCGATTCTAATATCACCTGACTTCCCAGTTCGATAATTGGACATTAACACTTAGGTTGGAACATCGACTGCGAGTTATCTGTCCAACGAGTACTAATTTCTATTTCAAACTGCAGGAGTTTGACCGAGGTTAGGTCAGCTTTGAGCTATTTTCGCCTCGCGTGTCTTAGATTCCGGGATTATTATACAAATTTCATCACTATTCTACCTAATCCCTATTCTCTAATTTCCATTCTTGTTTTGCTCTTGATCTCGGTCGTTTCCGAGATCTCGGTGCGATATCCTTTACTCTTTGGGGCACGCTGAGATCAAGTGTCTCAGCTTTTCGATGCAACGGAATGCAGGTGGGTCATTTTCAGTCCCACCTTGAAATATTGCAATACCTGCACGCGTTTCCGAGATCTCGGTGCGATATCCTTTACTCTTTGGGGCACGCTGAGATCAAGTGTCTCAGCTTGTCGATGCAACGGAATGCAGGTGGGTCATTTTCAGTCCCACCTTGAAATATTGCAATAGCTGCACGCGCATAGGTTTATATTTCGTCTTACTTACGTAAAGCAGTTGGTAATGCCTTCGACAAATGTTATAAACCTATTCGCTCGTGTTGACAGCATTCAGCATGTCAGTACAGGTTCATCAATTGTTACAAGTGGAAGATTTATCGCGACTATGTTTTTTCCTTGGTTTTATGTTTTTGCATTACGTGATTCCTTTATTGGTAAGAATATACCAATTTTGTTCAATTTAAAACGCAATAAGATTTCGATGCAACAAGAGTTAATCACGCTGTGCACGCAAGTTAGATACGGCTAGGAAATTCTTCGGAAAAAGCATTCCTTGTGGCTTTCTTTGTAATTTTGATATGTCATCGTCATCCTTCTGAAAACTTGATTCGCGATGACGATTTTTCCCAGAAGAAAACCTCGCCGTTAAGTCGAACGATCTCCCGTGTTAATTCCGCCGATACAGATTTGCATTTGCCATACGCGAGCAGTAGAAATCGGACTTTACCCGTGCCTACGTCAAGGAAACGCACGAGAGTAATTTGCACCTGACGCACAGGGTGTCCTCGGGTTAATTTGGTAACATCGTGTACCACGGCTGTCCTTGGATCTTTCGACGACTTTTGCCCCGAGATTTATGGTTTTCGAATATGCCTCGCGGTTGGGAGACATCGAATCACGAGGGTCACGTATTACTCTTCTCCAAGGATCTTCCGTTCTAGCCTATCTCGTCATTTTTCTTCGCGAAAAACGTTGAACTTCGCGTTGCTTCTGCGTCGAATCAAATTGCGAAATATTTCACGATTCGGTACGCTATTGCTTGAATTATTAAACGATCGTTCGTTGGAATATTCGATTATAAATTGTTTAAATGGACTCGTAAATGGTACTCGTATTCTATTATATTACAGAAAAATTTTTTCGAATGCCTCTGCTGTTAGGCTAGGATCCTATGACCCCTCTGGTATTTAAAAATACGCGTTATAATTATTACTGGTCCACAGGATCCCCTAAATACTGCCGATATTATTTTTGTACAAGTGTCAACAATATTTTAGAAAATTTAATGTGCAGGGTCATTTTGGGAGAGATACGTCACTGAAAGATTTTGGAAAAGCAGCTATTTTATAAATACAAAGTTACATTTTATTATAGATATACAAATTAATAATTATATTCCACTTATCTATGTTTTTATTCTTTTTGTGGAAAATGTAAAAAGTATAAAGTGTGACATGTCTCTTTTAAAGTGTCACTGTACATTACAATTTTCTAAATTATTGTTAAATAAAGGAATACGTGGAATTATGTCGGAATTATAATAACTTATCCTTAACTACCAATAATTTAGCCCAATTACCAGAAAATTAAATAATTATATAAAAGTTTACGGCGAAACTAAAGTTCAAATTACTTCTTGTATTTTTACTTCGTATCAAATCGATTAAGCACCTAGTTTTATGCTAATATTATATCACTGTGCGCGTAAAAAGTTAATTCCAGATCATTTCAACGAGTATTACAATCAAACCCACTGTGCGTGCATATAAAATTTCAAATAAACTAATCCCACGTTGTCATTACGACAAAAAGAAATCGTAAATGAATAAAATTTAAATTAAGTCTCCTCGGGAACAAATTTTTTTCCAAATTAACATTACGATACTCTCAAAACAGCCATTATAAAATAGAATAATAATGTACTAATAACAGAGACGTTCGTTTTCTCGCGATCATTCTAATTGTCTTTTCCCTAACAATAATCATAATAAAAAAAAAAAACTAAACGTACATGGATCCCCATCGGTACCCCGAAGAGCTTAAATACGTTCACCGTGCAATTCGCGATTTTCTTTGCTCGCCAGCCATCGTTAGGTACATCTCGTCTGCCTAGCCCGAACGCCCCAAAACGACGTGCCCCCAAGAAGTTGGAAGCTGGTACAGCCCTGATGCAAACATTCGTCTGAAAAATTTTTGCCAGCGATGGTGCTACCCCAATCTCGACCCCCCACGATCTTCTACGACTTGGCGCATCCCCTCCATCGCGATTCCTCCACCATCGAAGCCCGGATCGATCACGCACCCTGACCCACCCCAACGCCAGAGCGACGAGGCACCGCGATCGTCTCCAAGTTCAGCGTCAATTTATTTATAAGCACCCATAACCCGATCCCAGCCGCATCCGATAAACAAACATCCCTTGCCTCCGCGAGGACTCGCCGGGGGTAGCTGACAAACAGGCCGCGCGCCGCCCCATTAATCCCGTGACCGACAGAAATCATCCGTCCCGTTTCGTTCGATCGATCGATCGTTCCACTTCGGCCATCGGGCAGCACGCGCGTGTCTCGGCCACGTTGTCGTCGATGTCCGGCGTCGCGGCGGGGCGGGGACGCCGATCGGCGACGAGGAGGGAAGGTCAGAGCTCAAGTCATCGAGTACCCGGCGCGTTTATATAGCAGAGAGGACCCCGTTTATGCATCATCCACTAGCCACGTATCGTTTTCGCCTGACGCCGCTGCTCGTCGCTCGCTAGATCGCCGGTCGATCATCCAGTTCTAGGCTGCGCTGCGGACACTGCGAAACGGTGAGTGTGAGCTATGCGCGACCAGTCCGGTTCCCGCTGAAATATACGCGCGAGAGGACAAGAGAGACGACGGATCTCTTCGAGCAGTGAGAGAGGAATTTTGCCCGCGAGTTCCCTGTGGAAACAGGACAGGACGAAAGTTTTGTGACGAGCGGGTCTAACTGGGAATCCGGGAAGTGAGCTTTGTGCAGGTTTGCAACGGGACCTTCGCGGCTGGAACACGCTCGTAACCACGTCTATTAGACTTGGATATGTTTTATTTGAAATGGAAATGAGGAGTAACCGGATGGTGAAAGATAGAGAGAGAGAGAGTGGACTAAGTGGGACTTTTCGATCGTTTTGTGTTACATTTGTTTATTTTATCACGAAGTCAGAGTCCTAGGGCTAAACGCTGTCAAAGACCCAGACTGTGGAAAAGAATTCTTGCATCTATTCGTCGCACCGTGGTGAGAGACTAGCAACGCTTCTGCAACGTGTCGTGAAAGATCCGAGTTCAAAGTACGAGATTAATTTCTTTACGAGGAATTGAATAATATACGATAAGATTCGGAGACTGTCATGTCCAAGGTCTGAGATATATCTAAGAGAGATTAGATAACTTTAAAATTGCGGATGACTAGCAGATCACCTGAACACGTTACGGAAACCGGATTCCATCCGGCAAGAGGTCTAAAAAAGAACCGGAATCTTCGAATTGCTTAATGTCAGCCATTTCACTGTCTCCTGAGATCTAAACGACGCGATGATCTAGACACGCGAGGCGAGTTTTAAAAAATAAAATCTTGCTCACTTTTTTCCCCGTGGCTGCTAAGTCACGCTCATCGAAGTGTCCATTTCCTCGTACTTTTTCGTTATCCGCGAATCGTTCGTGACATTCCCGCGGCACCTGTGTCAGCCTTGAACCCCAGTATCGCGCGGTTTGCCAGCAAATCTCTCGAGAACTGGTTTCGTGGTCGCATCGGGTTCGTCGGTTTTCTGATTACCGATGCACTGGCCTTTGAAATCGCTTTGTCCCAACTTCGGGACGGTAACTGCAAGTCACGGCGACCGTGGCGCCACGGTTTCGGCGTCCATCGCGACGATCTTAGATCGGTACTCGGTTCGCGTGAATCAAAAGTTCGGGATGCTTTCGATTGGGTCAAAGATGCCGGTAACGTGGCAGTCACGTGGCCATTTGGCGTCGAAAAGTTTGCGGTCGTACGCCATTGCTCGTGCTGATATTCGCGATGGTTGATGAGTAATTCGAAACGGATCCGGAATAATTTGATGAGCCGTTGCACGGACGTGTTGGATCGGTTTGATAACCGTGACGAATGTTTGCAACCTGTTCAGCTTCTTACTTGACCGGTCGTGAAATTCGTGGATGTCAGAATATGTACTTAGGGATACTAAGTCGTTGGACTGTTATGACAACGAGTTTTACGAGCTGTCGACCATTAGCATGCGATTGGAATTATGAATCATAATGTGTCGGTTTGTTTGTTAATTAATGTTACACAGAGTGTCGTGTAGATTGACTTTGTTTGTAGGTTACTGTGTGCTCCGTGCTGTAATAGTCCTTTCTCTTATCGTATTTTCGTCTTTTGAGGTTCGTCCTTTTGCAGGTTTGATTTGGTGAAGGAAATATTGGGAATATTTAGGTGGTCTGTTTTAACACCGACACCCTGTATATCGCAGCTAATCGTCCTGGAACGCGCGCATTTACATATACATGAACCAGAGAGCGAGACAAATTTTCTGAGGATCGCGATTGGAATAGGCTGAAGCGGTTTTATCTAGAATATTCCGAATATTTAGAAATTTTGTATAGAATATTCATTTAATCTGTTAAAAAAAATTTAGAAAATTTATTTAGAATATTCTGAATGTTTTGAATATTCATTTATATCATTTAAAATATTTAGAATGTTCAGAAGATTTAGAAAGTTTATTTAGAATATTGAAAAAGTTTAGAAAATTTATTTATCCGAAAAATAATCGCGAATGGAAAAGCGTGGAAAGCCTTAATCCAGAATATTCTAACTATTCAGAATATCTATATAGACTATATATATTTCCATATATATATTTATTTATATATATATATTTCGGATAATTATTTCAAATACGCGCAACATTTGCAAAATTTTTGCGCCCGACTGTATTCGATCTCCCCCATTTCCTGACTAAATTCTTCCCACAGCGCGGTCCAGTTGCTGCCCGACCCGCGCGCCCTCTATCCGTCACGCGAATCTCACGAAACGACTGCACTTCGAGACTCCCACTCGATCAGGGATTCGTAATCCCATTTCCCCTCCAACGGGTCGGTCAACCCAATTCCACTCGGCGTGAAACCATTTTCCCTCCACGCTTTCCATGCGCCGCTCCGTTTCACGGCCGCTCGAGCCGCGCCACGCCGCCTAACCTAACCTCTCTTCTCAACGAAAACACCGTCTTCTAGTCCCGCCCGCGAACACCACGACGGACGAATCGCGACCGAAAGAATTCACACCGCTGCGTCACGTGCACCGCCGCGAAAACACATCGCGACCCGAGCCTTGCCGACCCTGGGACCGAACCCAGCCAGCGTATAAGAGCGGGCCCCGGGCCTCGGGCCCGCCGCATTTTCGTCCGTTTTTCGATCGAACGCGCGTCGTCGTCGCGGCACTGGCATTCTCGCCTCGGTTCGATCGTCGCGCCCCCACCTCGCCGATAACTCACTCGGCTGCCGGCAGAATTTTCCGTCCCGCCTTCCGATGTGCCTTCGTCGATACGCGGCTGGTTCATGAGACAAACTTCCGCCGGTTCCATCGTTCCATCGTGCAACCTTAATACAAAAGCTTTCGTCGCCGGTATCGTGCGTTCCCGTGGATCTAGTCGGGAGGAGTAGGAGGCGTTCGAGGTTCGGCAGTCGTAACACTTGTTGGATGCGACGATGGCGCTGACTGACCGTGAGTACAGCGTGTAACAGCGCTGCTGTGATTATCGTGCGGTTATTTATAAATTTCATTGTTTCTTCCACGCGTGTGTCGCTCACGCGTCTATGTGTGTGCGTGTTATGTAATTAGAAATTCTATCGCTGGTTTTACACGATCGATTCTTCGCGGCTGTGAAAGGAATGTGAAAATTCGCGGAGAGTATGCGCGAGTCCTGCGAGAAATTCAGCTGGCCGAGGTAAACACGGACACGCCGAATTTTCACATTGACATTCACGGTAATTTGACATTTAAATCCCACACGGGTCTCGAGTACCGAAGCAAACACGACATTGGTCAAGACGTGGCTCGCTCGACGAAAGGTTAGATTATTTCGGGGCTTCCCCTCTCGACATCGTTCTTCCTCTGACGATTTCTTTCGCAAATTCTTTTGCAAATTTTGTTCTTGCCATTCCGAGTGTATCGTTGGAGTAGATGGATCGGAATATAGATCGCGAGGTGGAGGAGAATTTTCCACGCGTGGAAATTTGTTTTCTCGTTAGAACGAACGTTAAGCTGTCGTCGGGTGTACGCGAATTGAGCCGGCAAATATAAAATCGTTGCACGTAGCCCGTTTCCTCTCGGGCAGGAATAACGACAATCTCGAGGAAGATCGAGTAGTAAATGGTAAGTTAATTGTGATCCGCGCGCGGAAAAAGAGATAAGAAAAAATATGCCGACCGCGATATATGCAAATGGCGTCCGCGCAACGTATTTTCCGCGTTCATCAGAAATTGAAATGCACGATTTGTAATTGTAATTCGTTATTATGACGTGTAATGAAATTAAAACAGTTGCAGCGTTCGACTTTATCGACAAAAAAGCCGCGAGAGCTGCAGGCTAATCGCCGTTGAGAGATGAAAAAAGTCCCGAAGATTAACTCTGTCACTATCGCCACTAGTCGATCCACCTGTTGATGAAAACATCGCAGAAAAAGAACCTCGGAAAGACGTTAATCGTGCGAGTAGTATTAAAAAAATTCGATTGGGTATTTAAAAAATCCGTATTAAAGAAATTTCGTTGAAAAATTAAAAATTAAAAATTTACATCGCGAAAAACATAAAATTGGAATTAAAAGAAACGTTAAAAAATTTAATAGGAAAGAAATTGATACGATACCAAAGAAATCTAGGTTAGAAGAATTACGTTGAACGCGAAGGAGATAATTTAAATGGCGGAAGGAAAAGAGTGGAATTAAATGCAACGTTAAAATATTAAATAAAAAAGGAATCGATTAGACATCAAAGAATGCAAATTAGGAAAATTACAAAACAAAGTGGAAGTACTAACGTCAAACATATCACTTCTTATTTAAATCGCGAAGAAGAAAAAGAGCGTAATTAAATGCGACATTAAAAAATTTAATAAAAAAGGAATCGATTAGACATTAGAGAATGCAAATTAGGAGGATTACAAAACGAAGCCAAAGCAAGTAACGTCAAAACAGAATGTTTTATTTAGATCGCGGAAAATTAGAGTGGAATTAAATACGATATTAAACGATTAAATAAAAATGGAAGCTATTAGACACGAGAGAATGGGTGTAAGAAAAATTGCAAATGAATTTTTAATCGAAAATTGAAGTACGGTTAATCAGCCTTAGCACCGAGAGGGAGACAATGAAGTGGTCCGAAAAACGAGTCATACGGGAATTTACATAATACCAATCGTCGACATTACTGCCCCTTCCCCTCCCCTCCCCACCCTTCGTGATGAAAGTATTGCACACGTTTCGTAACGAGCCGCCTTCACTTTTCCATCAGCCTTGCAATCTCGCCGAGATTCCGGCAGACCTGCACCGATTCGGTACACCTGTCTCGTCCTGGATGTTTCTCCCATCCACCAGTCCACGTCCACGGGGCCCTGGACAAGCCGACTAGATGCTAGACGAACCTCTTTGCGTTCATCGCACGTGTCCCTCCTGCGAACGTGCCAACGGTTTCTCCGCGACCATGGCACGCTTGCTACGCGTGCACGATTGTGTCGGAATGACACAATGCTGGTCGCTGCCACAGTTTCCCGCCATCGAGCCGCCATGTTTTCAGGCAGCTGAGATGCTCTCGTCCTCGTTTCGGATTTTAACGGGATCAGATGGTTGGCTCGTGAAGGATAGCATGGTCGCGGGGTCGCTAGATACGTATCCGAAGGCTCCACGGTTAGGTAGGCCTGTTGGTCGATGACCCTTCAGTCAGCTTATCGATGGAAGTTGACGGGGTTTCGAAGTGCACTGGAATGGCAAGGATTTTGTGCGTTGGTTAAGCCGAGATCGTGGCTGTTGTAAATAAGGTAGAAGTTGTGGTGCAAGGGTCTTAGTTTCCATCAGATATGCTCAGGTAGCAGTGGTTGTTGAAATTGTTCCTCAGTAGTGGCCATTATTGTGGCTGGAATTTTACAGTGGATGGTTCTTTGCGAATGTTGCAGTGGAAGTTCGAATTCTTTTACTGCTACTGTTAATTTTATATCGTTGACAGGGAGTGGAGAGAATTGACAGTAACCAGAATTAGCACAGAAGGAGGTCCCTTGTCGATTTTGGTCCTTCGTGAATGTTACAGTGGAAATTCGAATTCTTTTAATGCTCCTGATAATTTTATATCGTTGACAGGGAGTGGAGAGAATTGATAGTGACTAGGAGTAGCACAGAAGGGGGTTCCTTGCCGATTTTGGTCCTTCCTAAATGTTGCAGTGGAAATTCGAATTCTTTTAATGCTCCTGTTAATTTTATGTCGTTGACAGCGAGTGGAGAAAATTGACAGTAACCAGAATTAGCACAGAAGGAGGTCCCTTGTCGATTTTGGTCCTTCGTGAATGTTACAGTGAAAATTCGAATTCTTTTATTGCCCCTGTTAATTTTATATCGTTGACAGCGAGTGGAGAAAATTGACAGGGAGTAGCACAGAAGGAGGTTCCTTGTCGATGATCGAAATAAAATCCTGACTACAATAGTCATTCTAATCGTTTCGAACCTAGTTATTCGTAACCAGAACAAGTAGTTGAGAAAATTGACAGTGACCAGAATTAGCACAGAAGGAGGTCCCTTGTCGATTTTGGTCCTTCGTGAATGTTACAGTGGAAATTCGAATTCTTTTAATGCTCCTGTTAATTTTATATCGTTGACAGGGAGTGGAGAGAATTGACAGTGACTAGGAGTAGCACAGAAGGGGGTTCCTTGTCGATTTTGGTCCTTCGTGAATGTTACAGTGGAAATTCGAATTCTTTTAATGCTCCTGATAATTTTATATCGTTGACAGGGAGTGAAGAAAATTGACAGTGACTAGGAATAGCATAAAAGGAGGTTCCTTGTCGATGATTGAAACAAAATCCTGAATATAATAGTCATTCTAATCGTTCCACATCTAGTCACTTGTAACCAGAACAAGTAATGGAGAAAATTGACAGTGACCAGGATTAGCACAGACGGGGGTTCCTTGTCGATTTTGGTCCTTCGTGAATGTTACAGTGAAAATTCGAATTCTTTTATTGCCCCTGTTAATTTTATATCGTTGACAGCGAGTGGAGAAAATTGACAGGGAGTAGCACAGAAGGAGGTTCCTTGTCGATGATCGAAATAAAATCCTGACTACAATAGTCATTCTAATCGTTTCAAACCTAGTTATTCGTAACCAGAACAAGTAGTTGAGAAAATTGACAGTGACTAGGATTAGCATAGAAGGAAATTTCTTGTCGATGATCGAGACAAAATCCTGACTACAATAATCATTCTAATCGTTTCAATCCTAGTTATTCGTAACCAAAACAAGTAAAAATTGGAATTTTATAAAATTTTATAATCGTTTCACCTTGTGAACCACCACGTCGGCTGTCAAATGGTTGGTTTATTGATCGCGTGAATATAATCTAGGGTGCCTAGAATCTCCACTGGTGATATTTCAAAGCGAAAGAACTGGTAGTAAAATTACTCGTACAGTTTTCCTCCTGATCAAAGACGTGTTTAATCTCGTCAATGATTTCTCCGTTGCCTCTGTCATTTATTTCGTCGAAGTAACTCTGAATGGATGGCAAACAATGCAGCAGTCGAGACAATAAAATATCAATTCCGTTCTCCGAAAGGCGACTCGGTTATGAGTCACTCGTGTAACACAGCGAAATTGTTTTCCGTGCTAGGAGTACTACTGCACGTTCAAGGTCGCGGGATAATGGTTTATCGAGCATTTATGGATAAATTCTTATTGACACGATCGCGGAGGTCTTCGGTGACGATCGATCAGACATACGAGTGGCGCCAATTTTTACCCGCGCTCCTTCCCTGTAACCCTATCGCACCTCCATCGAGCCTTGACCAATATTTCAACGCGATTATCATCCGGTTGAAAAGCGTTTCATAACGATCATTTCTTAATTGTCTGTCTGAAAGCCTCCCTTTCCCGATGCCAATCGACGTAACGATCCAGTTTCTCTATCTCCCCCGTTACGTCGGCCATGTTCGCAACGACAATACCCTACGACGTGTCAAACTACCGTTGCCCCGTGCCACGTCGTCTTGAAAATCAGGTTCTTTTCTTATCCGAGGACCCAATCAAAGTCAACGTAACGAACCTGTCTTCGTTGTCGCGCCAAAACATCCAGAACCAAGCTATCCTTTCTCCCCTTTTGTTCCTCCCCCCGCCCCCCCTCCCCCTCCGTCGCTTTCTCGTGTCTTCGTTGCCATCTTTGTTTCCTCGCGGCTGCTTCTCATCCGTCCTCGACGCCCATTGTGAGCCCATCCTTCGTTTTACTTCCATTTTCTGCCTCCACGGGCCAATCTCCCGTTTATTTTTCCTCCAAATGAAGAACCAGCCTGCTTTCCGAAATTAAGCTCATCTTTCCCGGTTATCACCGGCCCCGTAATCAACGTCTGGACAAAAGGCGAACCGGGAACGCTTCGCTTGTTTAAACTCCTTTCTCATCAACCCCGGGATACAATTTTAATCCTGTCCTCTCCGTTGCATTCGAGCGTGCAGAGATATTTAATTAGCAAC